CCTCCCTCTTTCCTTCCTTCCCTCCCTCCTTCCCTCTTTTCCTTCCTTCCCTCCCTTCCTTCCTCCTTTTCCTTCCTTCCCCTGCCCTCCCTCCCTTTTTCCTTCCTTCCCTCCCTCTTTTCCTTCCTTCCCTCCCTTCCTTCCTCCACTTCCTTCTTCCTTCTCTTTCCCTCCCCTGCCCTCCCTCCCTCTTTCCTTTCTCCACTTCCTTCCTCCTTCCCTTTCCTTCTCTTCCCCCCTCTCTCCCTCTTTTCCTTCCTTCCTTCCTTCCTTCCTCCCTCCCTCCCCTTTCCCCTTCCTTCTTTTATATGCTGCCTATCTCCCCCATAGAATGATTCCTTCTCTTCCTTCCCTCTTTCCTTTCTCTTCCTTCAGATCACTTTTATTTTATTTTCCCTTAAATTTGTATTGTTCTCACTTTAACAAAACCCTTTTAAAAATAATTTTCTTTTAAAAATATTTTTTAAGACAACCGACCTCTTTGGAACCTTTAACCACTGGATTCGATAGACTTGCAGCGACAATCTAAAGGAACGGAAGCAAAAGGAAAAATGACATTTAAGGGGGTTCTCAAACGTTCCAGCTTCTTTCTAAAATATTGCAGCTTCAATCTGGAATCGAAGGTTTCACAACAGACCTTCCCTTGGCCACAATGGTTAACCAATGCGTTAAAAAAAAAAAAAAAGATGAGAACTAAGTTTGTGCGTGAACCATGCTGTTTTCCTTCTCCTTTTTTCCTTCTGACAGAGTGGAAAACACCGATTTTGTTTCCTTCCGTGAAATATGTAGGCGAATCTTTCACTGTGCAAGTAGTGCACAGCTCGGTGGTTTTTAAGCTTGAAATATGTGGACTTCAACTCCCACAATTTTTGTAGCTAGCGTTGCTGGCAGGGGAATTCTGGGAGTTGAAGGCCACACATCTCAAAGTGGCCCATACTAAAACAACTATACAGAGAGATAAATTATGGTGCTTGCTTTTTTCTCTCTGCTTCGTCTCTTCCAAGTTAGAAAGCACCATCCATCCATCCATCCACCTATCTATCATCCATATCTATCTATCTATCTATCTATCTATCTATCTATCTATCTATCTATCTATCTATCTATCTATCTATCTATCTATCTATCTATCATCCATCCCTATCTATCTATCTATCTATCTATCTATCTATCTATCTATCTATCCCTCCCTATCTATCTATCTATCTATCTATCTATCTATCCCTCCCTCCCTCCCTCCCTCCCTCCCTCCCTATCTATCTATCTATCTATCTATCTATCTATCTATCTATCTATCCCTATCTCTATCTATCTATCTATCTATCTATCTATCTATCATCCATCCCTATCTATCTATCTATCCCTCCCTCTCTCTCTCTCTCTCTCTCTCTCTATCCATCCATCCATCCATCCAACCCTCCCTCCCTCCCTCCCTCCCTATCTATCCATCCATCCATCCATCCATCTATCCATCCATCCATCCATCCATCCATCCATCTATAATGAACATCTCAGAATTCAGAAGTTATTTGGGGGTCCTGACAAAAGCTGACCTTGTTGTAGCCGGTGAAATCCACCTGGGCTTTAACTGGGGCGGACGAAGCGATGGCGGCAAAGACCAGATGGGGAAACTGCAAGAAAGAAAGGAAGGAAGGAAGATCAATAAAGGCAAGGAAAAAAAAAATTTCCCTGTAATATTTGGGACTCTCGGCGAGGGAAGGGAGATAGCCTTTCAACTAACTCCCTTTCCCTGGCCTTTGACCTCCATAAAGCCGTTTCTGATGTGCAGGAGGAGCCGTTAAGATGCCACACACACCCCTTTCACGGTTCCACTTTCTGCAAAAAGAGTTTGATTCCCCACAGCTAATCCTCGTTTAACAGCCACAACTGAGATTGCAATCTCAGGAATGCAATCTTCGCAAAGCAAAATCTTTGCTTCACTCAACGATCACAACCCCGGCAATTCTCTTGCAGTCGTTAAGTGGTCTCGCGGTTAGTTAAGCAGACGGAATCCTGTATTTTGGAAGCTTTCCAGATCCTACCGTCAAGATTCCAGCAATCGCTCTAATTAAATCGTGATTCTTGAGCCAAACTTCAAAAAACTTCAAAGGATTCATTAGAGGCGACATACTGGCCCTGCCCTGTATGAAGCCAACTCTGGCCTACGTCATTTACAGTCCCCCGTGACCCCATTTTCGCCCTCCCCTCTGGGTGTGTCATAAATCAGATTCTCCAATTGAGCACCTTCACGGGCTGGGTGTCATCATTCATGTTCTCCAATTAAATATATTCGCAGGCAAAAGCTCTGGTAGTTTAGTTACAATCTTTTAAAGATAAAGAGTTGGAATGTACTTTTGCTTTACCGCACTGCTCTTCCCACAGTTCCTTCCTCCATCCCTTTTTTTTTTAATGGCAACTACTTAAACAGGCCTAGGAATGTTTTATGAGTTGACATCTACCTTTAGCCTAAACCAGGCAGCCAAAGAACCAGGATACGAGCCTCCGAAGCAAATCCAGGTGTGATTTGCTCTCAAGTTGTACTTCTCGGTGATAAAATGGCGGAAGGCAACCAGATCAGAGAGACTGAAAAGGAGGAGGTTTAAGAGAGTGTTAACAAGACACGGCGGGCGTTTCTCCATCTCAAATCTTACGGATTGTGCCTGGCACACCCTGGACAAGGTGTTGTAAGCTCTTCCTGCCCCCTGAAATGCTGTCTAAAATGGGCCTGGGTTCAAGTCAATGCAATAACCAGTGGCTGACAACTCACGCCTCAGGTTTCTAGACCTCAAGGCAGTAAAAATAGACTCGAACCTGTTTAGACTCTGCCTGAAATCTCAGAAGCCTAAGGAAAAATTTAATGGATTTTTCAATGGTCAGAATAAAAACAAGGAAGAGATGCTAAACTTCGAATCTGAAAATCAGCAACTGCAGAATTATAGTCCGGACGTTTGGAGTTCCTTCTACCCGCATATCTAGAATAAGCCTACATGATCTGTAAGTCAAAAGACAGCAATAAAAGGTTTTTAATTGCTGCTGGTTTCTGATAATTTGATTTCTTTTTTATCATTTTTATCTGATGTTTTTAATATTGTTGTAAGCTGCTTAGAGTCACTTGTCACTGAGAAGGATGGCATATAAATTAAAATTTAAATTAATAAATTTATATTTTTTATATTTTTTTTAATCAAATAAAAAACCAGACCCATTTTTTTTTTTGCAAATACAGACTGAAATAGAGAAAACATTGAGGATTTCTAGCTGTTTAAACCAGCATGTCCCAACGTCGCAATTTTAAGATCTGTGGACTTCAACTCCCAGAATTCCCTAGCCAGCCATGCTGGCTGGGGAATTCTGGGAATTGAAGTCCACAGATCTTAAAACTGCTAACGTTGGCAAACATGGGCCCAAAACAGTCTAGCAAACTCCAGAAGGTGGATGTGGATGTTAGCCAGCCCCTCAAGATGAAAACTGGTGAATTTGGGGCAACTCACGCTTGCTGGCTAGACAGGAATTGAAGATTTTCATCCTGCAAACCATCAGGATTAAGGCTGGTCCCATAGAAGCGATGTTCCAATGCTACCACCATCGCTTTGTACTTCTCTGCCAAATCTACATGATGTCCTGAAATTAGAATAAAATGCAACAGGGTGATGTGGGGTCTTTGGTGCTTTCTAAGCTTGGTGGTTTTCCTGTCGACATTTCATTACCAAACTAGGTAACAACATCAGTGCTACAAGGGGGAGAAAGTACAATTGTGCCCAGGAAGGGGTATTTTCTTCCCACACCCCAGGTGACTCTATGGTAATTCTATGAGGCCTCTCCTGTATGAAGCCTCTCCTCTCTACAGGGCAGCTGGGAGCTCTGTAGGGAAGGAGTCAAAAAAGTCAAGATGGCGTCCCCAATGACAAGATTTAAATTTGCAGAGCTGGGACCCTGGACATTTTCCTAGCTGCGCATCCCAGCTTCGCTTCTTCCCAGGGAGAGAAAGCCAAGCTGAACGTTACTCTCCAGAGAGCGTGGCCTCCTGGCTGCTACCGCTCGTCCTGACTCACTTACCGGCCACCACAGAAAACGGCGTGAGGGCAGCTTCCCCTCCAATGTAGAGGAAAATGGGCCCTGCGGGACGCTGCCAAAATTGCTCATTAATCCAGTAGCGCTGAAATTCAGAAAGAAAGAAAGTGAGACGGAAGAGAATCAAATCACCGAATATAAAATTAGTAGTCAAGAAAAGTCAAAATGCAGAAAATTAAGAACGGGGCACTGTTCACATTTGCATCCAACACCGTAGGAGTCTCCAGATTTGGCAATTTTAAGATTTGTCTATTTTTAACTCCCAGAATTCCTCAGCCAGCACAATTCTGGAATTTGAAGTCTA